GCGATTAGTTTTGATGGAAGCAGAAACGTTTAATTCAAGAATTGCTAAAAAGCATACATATATACGTGCATGGTAATACTCTAGTGTTTGAAAAATTTAAAACTTTGTTAAAACTAATCGACTGGTTATAAAAATAGTTTGACATGTGTAACTTGATATGTTCTATAAAATGGCTGAGGTGAAAATTCCAAATTTGATTGAAAAATTTTATGATCTCGTTTTCTAGAAACCTCACTTGATTTTCCAGGGGATTTTAAAAGATCCGAAAAATCCTACCATGGCTCATGGTAGTACACTTGGTGTGCTTCAACAATATCGTAGTGGGCGAGAAAGTCTCCTGGTTTTTCGAGAGAAAATCTTTGTCCAAACTGACCGGATCGATGATTTGGGCTCTCACGGGATCATCTACTATAAAAGAACGAAAGCATGTCTGAAACTCGCGGTTGTGTGAATTTATAGTGGATGCTATCTAGTAATTATGATAGAATTCTTAAGTCTAAGTAATGTGTCGTTACAGAGTTGTACGTGGTTGTTTGACTTTGAATTGTGCTGTATTAATATATTGGCACTTTCTAAAAAAAAGCGTACCTTACTAAACCCTAAAAAATCAGTTTAGGAGAGTAAAAGGTTTACGAAAATAACTATTAAACTCTTTTGAGTTTAGTAGCGTTGTTGGAAAATCCTTTGAGTCGTTTACAAAACGAAAAAGTCCTTTAAAAAGCTCTATTAAAATGTGCAAAATGGTTTAGGAAAGTTCTTAAACCTATATCTTCCTGTACAGTTTTATTTTCATAAATCCTCCTCAAAGAATATAGCAGCTCGCTCTCCTAAACCTTTTCTGTTTTATAAAATGCCAAAATGTTGTAGGAGAGCTGCTAAATCTTTTGAGAGGGATTTAGGAAAATGGAATTGTACAGAATGAATATAGGTCTAAGAACTTTCCTTTCTTTTGTGTTCTAGACATGTGCTTCTTTTTCTGCTGTGTTTAAAAGGAGAGGAAACGTTTTTTATCATTATTTGACTGATGTCTTTTGAATAAAGACGAAACTAATCTCAAGTGAAACAGTAACTCCCTTTTGCGTATTTTAATAGAGCTTTTTTTTAAAATACCTTTTCGTTTTGTAAATGACTCAAAGGGTTTTTCAACGACGCTACCAAACTCAAAAGGGTTTAATAGTCATTTTCGTAAACCTTTTACTTTCCTAAACCCTTTTTTAGAGTTCAGTGAGGTACGCTTTTTTTTAGAGAGTACGTCATGGAAAATTTTCTGTCAACACATAAGCGAATATATTCAGAGTGACAAGGAGATTTTAATTAGGTTGTTGCTGACAAAGCATATATATTTTGACTTTTTAGAAGAGCCGGTGAGAAAGCGAAAGCATCATTTTATGTTTCGAAGTAAATCGAGTGATAAATCCAAAGATGCAAGAGGTATGTACTTACATCAATTCATCCTAGACTTAATTTAGTTGACAAATGTCTTATTAAAGTGCAGCGTGTTATACAGCTGGTACAAACATAAATAAATGTTGTTATTTAGATTTGAAATCAAATAGTGGAGTGTTCGGTGTCTCTTTGTCTCAATGTATTGATGATGATGATCGTTTGTCAAGTGGTCGAACGGAGGATGATTTAAGAAAAGATAGTTTAGATTTAGCCACACCATTGGCAATACGTACAAGTCCTAGTGGAAGTGTTTCGTCAACTAGTTCAGCAAAAGATAGTGGTTGTTCCGTATCACCAGCAAGTCCAAGTAGTTTACAGGTAAGGGAGAACACAAATCACCATTTTGTTCTAATAAAATTGACGGAATAAGCTTTATACTATTAATATATATTCGTTTACTAGTAGATCTGAAGATTGTCATTAAAAAAATACATTTTCACTGAACAACTCGAAATCTACAAGACGAGTCTGCTCATGAAGCCTTTTTTGACTCAATGCTACAAAACAGTTTTCTAATCTGCTGAATATTTTCATCGTTTAATAACTACAATTTTTTCTTAGGTATCGGATTCTGATTATGAAAATACAAAAATTCGATCAGTATCATTAGAAGCCTTAAGTGGTCAAACACAATCTGGAAAAAACACGTCAGCAACAGCCTTGAATCGTTGCAAAACGCTCCGCTGTTATCCAGAAAAAGTTCCATATATAATTAAGAACTGTTGTGAGCATCTTGAACGAAATGGTAATTATTGAAATCTAGTTGTTCTAATGTATGTTTTTATTATTTGATATTCTAAAAATAAACAAACAAGTATTTTTTTCTCTTAAGCTTTGCAAACAATTGGATTATTTCGTGTGGGCGTTTCGAAAAAACGTTTAACTGAGGTCAGCATTGGTAAAAATATTTTATTCGCCAATTTCTAATTAAAATATTCTTCTTTCTAGCTTAAAGAGCAAGTGAATTTAAGTCGTAGTTTAAATTTTGATTCAACAACAAATGCACATGATGTAGCGGGTTTAATAAAAGAATTTCTCCGTGAACTGCCGGAACCATTGATGACAAAAGAACTCTGTTCATCTTTTCTAGCAATTCGTTCGAGTATGTAATATTCCGTTTTCTACGAGAAACATCTAATCTCTCTTTATTTGTTTAGAAATGAACGTTAAAGATCAATCAAAAATCTTAGGTTATCTAATTGCATTACTTCCATCATCAAATCGTGACACACTTTACACATTATTAAAATTTCTTCACATAGTATCACTAAATGCACATGACAGACAATATAACGGAAAATTTGTACGTAATCAGGTTGTTATTTTCAATTAACTTAGAACAATTTATACTTGAATAAAAACTTTTCAATGATAAAGTGAATATTGAAGATAAAAATAAATTGAATAGTAGTCTCACTAGTTAAAAATTTATTCGACTAATTGTTAAAATATATAACTCTAATAACTACTTTTGAAAAGACACGAACGATGAACATGCTGACTATAGTAATTTAATATGAATTAGGGAACACTTCGTCTACATTGTCGTAAATCATTACCATCAGTATAGATGGGTCTGTAAGTTAGCATTTATCTTTTATCATACTAATTGAGTTTTGCTTTTCTCGAAGCATTTTTTGCCTTATCGAATGGAGGAAAAAGGAAGATTAGCCCACCTTCGACTATTGATGCCACCTCTCTTTCCACTATTTCTTTTTTACACCATAACCATTGACATATCACCGGATCGAAAAATTTTAAAAGTTTGTTCGGTCAAAATCGATTGCAGATTCGTCTTCTCCATGGTTGATTATGTGGTACGTAATAACTTTTGGATCGGAATACTTTAGAAAAAAAATTTCTTATGGTTTTCAGAAAGTTACTGTTTGGGACCAAAGACAAAACGACGTCGAAAATGTTTTCTAAAGTACCCGGATCCAGAAGTTATCACGTACCACATAATCAACCATGGAGAAGACGAATCGGCAACCGGTTTTGACCGAACAAGCTTATAACAGTTTTCGATCTGATGATATGTTCCTTAAAAAAGAGGTGGTGCAGCTGATGACTCTCAGAAACTTCTCTAAAAGTGTTAGACTGGTATTTCTCATGCACGAAATTATATTTCTTAAATTTTTACATTTTTCAGATTCCCGGCAATAAAATGGATTCTCAAAACTTAGCCATCGTATTTGCACCAACAATTTTATTAGATGGAAAATCAGTTACGAAAGACATGAGTGTTGCATATATGGAACAAGCAAAAGATGTGCTGCAAATGATGATCGATCAATATAAAGATTTGTTTATAGTGAGAATATTGTGATTTTAAGCACTACAAGCAACTTTATATCTTTCTTAAATCATCTCTGCATAATGTTGTTTTTTTAATAGATTTCTCGAGATTTACACAATGAACTATTAAATACTTTATGTGAAATGAATAGCGAACAACTCGTGCGCGCGTTAGCGTTTAAAGTAAAAAATGTTTGTGGGTAAGTTCGAGAGAATATAATTTGCGTTGAATATCTAATTGTATTTTGATTTTATTTTAAGTATTATTACAATTCAATTAGATGAAAATGATGAACGGGAATTATCTTCACTCGATTTACTACCGCTATTTTATGATTCACCGAACGTCGGTATTTTCAGTTCAATTATTCCAACACGTGCTCAACCGCCATCACTTCGTTATAATTTACGTCGCAATAGCGATTTTCCCTACTCAACTATTCACACATCTCGTTCATCAGAATTTCTTCAAGTTCCATCATCATCGTCAGCACAACGTTTAAGTCAATTAAATACAAATAAAACGACTACTGTTAACACACAAACACGTTTACCAACTGTAAGAGATATTCGAGAAGCCAGTATGGATCAAATTATTTTTAGACTTATTGAACCGCCCACTGAACAACGTCATCCAACAGAACCAATCATCAGTGTCACATCATTTGATGATGTTAACGATACAACAACACCTCTAACAAGTATCACAATGTACGATCAAAATCGTCGTCTAATTATTCGTCCAAATTCGTTGAACATAAATGGGAAAGAAACATTAGCCATTGCTCAATCATCTACATCCGCTTCTTCACCCTCTTCCGAATCTCAGCAAAATACTAATAATAACACGTTGAGTTTAAGAGAAATAAAACCTTACGCTCGTTCAAAGACAGCACCACTCTCTCCAGGTCATTATTTAAGTCCGAGAACTCAACGAGAATCAGCGACAAGTGCTAAGAATTTATGTGGCTCATCAACAGACGAATCGCCATCACCATTAAGTGCAACAAAACAGAGTGAATTGACTATAACACTCGTTTGAATCTGTTTCATTTTCAGCATTCAATATTTGAGAGTTTCACACAATACAGAGAAAAGTCTAACTTTTCTATTGTATCTTGATCAAGTCAAATTTTTATGTATCTATTTATTTATTCATTTTCGTTCTTCTACTGTTGTAAAACTGTTCCTCTTTCTTATTTTTCAAAATTCAGAGTGCCATAAATGTATATCAGAATAATTACAAAGTAATGAACGAAACGGTGTATGAAGCGAAGATATGTTTCTCATGCACTCTGGATTAGAATACCCCATTTATGTAAAATCCAGTCTCATGCACTGGATTATGACAGAATAGAAAAGCGACTAAAAAACGACTTTTCGAGTGCTGTTTGAGTTCTTGTCATATACATACCAAAAATAGTTTGGAACAGTCTTGAAAATTCAAGTCTTAGAGGAAAACGAAAGCAAAGTTGTGAAAAACACAAAAAGATCTCCTTGGAATATCACGTACTCTTGTTTAAAAGTCTGTGTGAATGAGATTCGACTGTTGAAAGCATCTAGAAAGACGAGTTAAGGCACAATTTTGATTTTGATTGACTATTTTGATATCAATCATACCACAAAACAGCTTCGTTCTGTTGAGATTGAAACAGCGATTTTCCTTTTGGATAAAAGCATAGAATTTGTTCTTTTCTTCGTTTCTTGCTTTGTATCTATTTCTGTATGCACACAGAAAGTGCATTGACAGCCATATTGACAACTCTGTATTTCAAAAAGTATACTATTTAGAGCAGAAAAATGCGTATATACATACTTGTGAAAGAGCAATCGTAACAAAGTCTTTTTGGAGAAAACAACAACGTCATGTGCAAGGTGAAAAAATTAAGCACAAATCAAGGTTGTTTAATAAAGGCAGGAAGCGAGAGAAGGAATTAATCCGCACGTGAAGTAATAGTCTCTTATTTTTAAACATTCAATACGGACTGTCAAATGAATACTGAGGATAGATATTGACGAATGTCGTGTGGGCACTAGTGTCCTGCGGGAACGACTTTTTTCCCTAATTTTCTCATTCCCATTTAGATTTAGGGAATGGGAACATGGGAATGAGAACAGAATTAAAAATTGACGTTCCCACAATTCTTTCTATCTTATTTCAGTACACATAAAAATATTTCTATCTGATAACTGTTTATTTTCAATAACTTTTCTTATTCATATACAATTAACAGAAAAATAACAAATGTGTATCAACAAAAAATAGACTGTTGATTTATTGACTATTTTAAGACATTTCATTTAATATAAACAGAATTAAGCAGAACGAATTGAGACTATTGACCTCAATAAAAAAATCCTTCTTCGCAGATAGGGAAAAGCAAGAGATTTATTTCCCTGTCTAAAAATAAACCATACATAGAATTTTTCCGGTTGATTCTCCATACTATTGTTTAGTCTCATATTTATATCAGAAATAGATGCTCTATTACCCAGTCTACTCTGAAAATTTCAGCCACGAAGAGCAAAAATTTGCTGAGAAAGTTGCAAACGTGTTTCGTGTACTCTTTTGTGGTTGCAACCAAAAATTCAGTGTCATGCTTCTCCCGTTACCATTTTTGCTTTAGTTTCAATTCTTAGATGATTCTTCGCTATCTAATATATTTTCATCTGTAAACTAACGCAATAGGTATAGGTAATCACGATGAAAGGATTGAAATTGAACCAAAAATGATAGCGGGACAAGCATGACAGTGAATTTTGGTTGCAGTTACAGGAGAGTACACGATACACGTTTGCAGCTTTCTCAAAAAATTCTCGCTCTTTATGACTGAAACTTTCAGGATAGACTGAGTAATAAAACATGTATTTGTGATATAGCATGCGATGCAAAAGTCTTGGAAAAAATGTCTACCTTCACAGTTCAGTCATTTTACGGCCTATAGACCTAAGGTTTTTTTTATTAGAAAGAGCAGGTAAAACGCTACACAACTGTGTTTATAAAACTGAATAATAGTCCGTCTCGCCATATAACCCGAAGCCTTTTCCGAACATCCTCAATCATGGCTTGCAACATTTTTTGATCAAGTTGTTGTACCTTTTGTTTGATTCTTCAAGCTAAGACATCCAAATCCTTTTGCTTCCTAATTATTTTCACATACTTTTCCTTCGAGTAGAGTCCAAATGGTTTCAATCGCACGAACTTGAGGCACGTTTGGACGATTATCTTGACGACGAACGAATGGCACATTCTTGTCATTCAAACGCTCCTAAACAACATTTGAATAATGAGCATTCGCCAAATCGGGCCAGAAGAGATAATTTCCATCTTGATCATGCTTTTCGATAAAAGGAAGAAGTCTTCTGTTCAGACATTCATCGAGATTAGTGGCTTAACAAACAGCTTGCTTGCTTGCTTTTGCAAACGTAGACATCAAAAACGCCTTTGGAGGATAAGGCCATTGAAATCATTACCTTTGGTTCAATTTTTTTTCTTTTGAAACTTAATGTTTGGAGGAGTTGAAGCTAGATCGGTAGAATAAAAAAACGATTGCCATGTAACACAATCCCACTGGATGGCTTGAGCCAGTTCGTCCTTAATTGAATACACTGTAAAAAATAAAGGTTTATGAGTTTGCAACGGGACATAAACCTTTTTTTCTGTTTTTGAAATATCTAATAAACGGAAAATTCATTTATTTTCTTTGTCATATATGAAAGAAAAGGATTTATGTCCCGTTGCAAACTCATAAACCGTTTTTCCGTTTATTAGGGAATTCAAAACGGTTTTTTCATTCATTATTCTCCGGATATTTTTTTAGTGTAGTCCAACAAGTTGAGATCAGGAGTATTTAGTGGATCCCCAATTTTGATCAATGAAGGAAAAAGGGTGGGGTGGGTAAAGTTTACGGTGACGGTGAGAATATGGGTGCGGGTCACAGTAGACAGAAAAAAGGGGTCAGGAGCAATTCCCAGTTGCCATGTCGCTTTTGAGTCAAGACTATGTGGATTATGTAGGCTCTAATGAGCTATGAACATTCTGAAAACAGTTCGTACTCTTAGCTTATTTCCGTCGAGATATTTAATTTTTATGGCAATTTTTAGCAAAAAGCCGTGGTCTCCCTCACACAGTGAGCATTTTTGGCTAGAGCAGGTGGAAATTAGCTTCAAATGCACTACAGCAGCTGAAAAATAGTTTTGTAATAGGTTTTGGACTACAGGGAATCTACTGGCAGTATCAGATTTACTCTAGGGCAATTTCGTTCGAAAATGGTTTTCCCAAAAACTAGGATTTTCCTTAAATTTTTTCACTTATCGTCGAAAGACATAAAAATATATGAAATCGATGATGCTGATTCGGAATATCATATTTACGAACTTTCAAAAAGAATTCTGGCGTGTTCTGTAACGTCGAAAACTCGTTCAAAGAGTTGATTTTTGGAAAAAATTATTTCAAGTTACATCAAAATCATTTTTTCGTAAAAAAATAAAAGGTCGGGATGTTGACCGTTGGTTTTCTCAACGTTTCTCCTTCTCGCCATGTAGAGATCTCCCGAAATCGCGAAGGTACGAGCACGAACGAGCACAATAAAAAAATTCATCAGTTAGGAAGGAGAAAAATAGAGTTCACTGTTTGAGAAAATCACTGTTTATCGACTCAAAAAAATTTATGTGTATCACATAATTATCTACTTCAATCGCTTTTAACCATTCGAACAGAGTGTATTGAGTCAAGTATCATCTTCGTTGAGACAAGTAGAAACGACATTATTTTGATCTTTTTTTCTTTCCTTGTATGATCTGATAATTATATAACGTACAACTGGATCCGATCTAATAAACAATCTACTATATATATCTGTAAGATTTGGAATGTGCTCGCACTTTCTAGCCAAACTCTCCTTAAAATTCCTCACGTCTTTATTTGAACTTTCCAGACTCTCATCAGATAATTCACCTAATGCCACACCATTGTTTCTTTCAATAAGTTCACAACTGTGAAAGATCAGATTATGGATGGTGAGATTATATTCAATAAATGAAAGTTCTTCAGCTAGAAATAATTTAAATGACAATGTTGCTTTTCTAAGATTCTTTATGTTAATAGATTCTGTCGAAGAGACTGCACTAAGAATAATAGAATACAGTTTCATTAATATTCGAACCTTTTCTTGATGTTGTTGAACTACACATTCGATAACTTTCTCTCTTAATTCAAAACTGAAAAAACGACGGCCCTGTTGGCCCATTGTACTAGTTCCTGTATTCTCAGATCCATCACACTGATCTAATTTTAAATCAGTTTTGTCTTGCAGACTTTTCAAGAAAGTATCTTTTGCTTTCTTTAATTGAGCTTGATTGTCTCTGCACCTCTGACAGCCCATGTTGATGGACTGGCATTCAATCTATATATGATGTTGAGAAACCAAGTTGTTCCATTGATCCACTGATGGGTTAATGTCAGAGAATGATGATCTGATTGAGAAAGTGGATGGGTAGTAAGACCCTGACGTCTTTCATAATCGTTTGACTTTTTTACGATACTTCCATCGTCTCGTATTAGACTATTATATAAGTCCATTGTATCAGTAGCTGTAAGAGTAATTCGAAAGCTATCCTCGTCTAATAGTTTCTCACGGTCTTTCCAATTTTTCTGTCTTGTAGTGTACATAAGGCAGTCACTTCCTCCTAGACCATTTTCGACTGTTCTTACTTTCATGTCTTTCATTGAATCGATAATTTATACTTCAATATGGTACACTTTTCCATAATATTAAATTCTATTCCTTCGTTTTCCAATGCTTTTTCTTGTGGTTCGAATGTAGAATTCACATATTTAATTAAATCTGGATTTTCTTTTTCTGCAATGGTTAATAATGGACGTGTCCATAATGAACTGTTCGGTGATTCGTTTCTCCATACATAATCTTTTATTGTGGTATCAAGGAGAGAGAGGAACGAACATATGGCAGAAGAGGTTCGGATCTGTCATTGGATTGTCTTTGGAACGATATAAAGACTAACTACCAGCCCCGTCATGTC